TTAAAAACACAAAAGCAACACAGTCCCAGGTGAGCATAGCCCAGAAAAGCCTTCCTGTGTAAGGATGGAGAGTGTGTAAAGGAAGGAAGGGCCCATCCTGTCCTGCTGGAAGAAGGGTGAATAAGGAGAAAATCTTGGCAGGGGTCCCTGAGCTAATTTGTACCGAGATCGTAGATGGAGTTCTCATTCTGCATCATTAAGACCAAATCAGCCTCTTGTGTAGAACAGAGTCAACAAGGGTGATAGGAATGGTGTGATGATGTATCCTTAAAGGGCCCTGATGACAGGTAGACCTGCATTCAGACCCAGCACTGTAGAGAGATCTTCACCTTGTCCGCACCTGTGGCATAGACCACACCCATTGGGGGGTGGAGACAGGGCCGGATGTGACCTGGGGGGACTAAGGGGGCGTGGAGAGCTCTCTTGCTCTCAGCATGGGGTAAGCATGGGGACAGGGGTACATCCAGGCATCCTTGGGACCAGGAACCTGCTGGTGTTCATCTGTCTATGTTGTAAGTTATTTCTCCCTGAGTAAACATCTATTCGGTCTATTTGTTTCTCCTGATCCTTATTAAACATCAATATCTGGTGTCAGAAGTGGGATCCGGATTTTCACTGGCCCTGTCTCCACCCCCCAATGGGCGTGGTCTATGTAGGGTGAATATCTCCCTACACAGCACTGTATCTCTGTTCTCATGAGATTTATGTTTTTGAATGCAAATTGAAGGCACATCTAGTTTCCTTTGCAGAGCCCATGAAGCTCTCTCTACCTGTGGTAAACAGTCCGTGGTGGAGGGAGTGATCTTAAAAGACTCAAAATTCAGTCTTTAAAAAATGAACTGAACACAAAAGGATTATAGTGTCAGATCTAAAGGTCATGTTGCACAAATGACCTTCAGGGGCTTTGTTTGTTTGTGTTTTGCTCATTTGGCTCTGAAAGGGTTCTGTAAAAGTATGCAGCCTTCACACATTATTTTATTGAAAACATCTTTATTTGGTGTATGTTTTAAAATAGTGATAAGAATTGAAACTTCTGAAGTGTTATAAATATGGACATTTAAAAGTAAACTCTCATGTAACTCTTATAACTGCCCAATAGACTCTACATTCTATGCAGATTGGATATTGACAGTCATTTTTTTTTTTTTTTTTACAAAAAATACCTGAACCAGCTCTTCAGTTTCAAATGAGAATTTTGTTTCTTTACCAAATCCTTTTCTGTGTTCCTCCTCCATAGAATTTGCTTCCAGTGCATCATTTTTAAAACCAACACAGTTTTGATTTAGTGTTTGGGAGCATCAAACAGAGCTTTGTGTATGACAGACATTCTACCTTCTGAATCTCTTCATTAGTCCTCGTGTATCATTATAAATTGAGTTTGCTGGTCATTACATAGCACATGTCTAAGGAAAACAAGGATATTCTATGCATGTAATTTTTAATTTCTGAAATGATTCATTTATGAAGAGATTCAAACTATTCTAAAAACATCTCTGGATTAAATTTTTATTACAGTTTTGACTTGAATACTATTGATCTAAAAAAGCATTCATATGTTAATTTCAGAGCTTCATTATTGTATATAAGTACAAAGGTTTTGGAAATCAGCTCTCAACAAAACAGATAGTGTGTGTGGAGGTGTGTATGGGGGTCCAGTTTGTTTATATATCTATAGATAAGGCTACTTATTGCTCACAATATAGAACCCAGCATCAATTCTAACCCATTTTTGCCTGTGTCAATATATATTGTAAGAAATTGCTCTTATAAACACATATGTGAAGTGGGTTTAAACCTACAGTATTGCTCAATGACATAACCACCCCTCAGATTCCCATAAGAGTTCATAATCAAAACCTATTTAGGGGATGGAGTCTGGAGAGACAACTGACTCAGCAGTTAAGAGCACATACTGCTCTTGCAGAGGACCTAAGTTTGGTTCCCAGAACCCACATTAGGAGGCTCAAGGCACCAGGAGCCAGGAGATCTTCCTTCTCTGGCCTCCCACGGCCCCTGCACTCATATGTACATGCCATAGACAAACAAACACACATATAGATCATTAAAAAGAGAATAAATCTTTAAAACTATTCCAGATATTCTTGCCATAGTACACATGTGGATGTCAGAAGACAGCTGTCAGGTGTTGGTTCTCTGCGTCTACAATGTGTGTCACAGGACTAGATCAAGCTTCGGTCATCAGGCTTGGTGAGGTCAATCACCTTTATCCACTGAGCTATCTTAACAGCTCCCTAAAAATTATCCTAATAACTTAATAACTGACAACAACATATCCTAAATTCTTTCTTCTATACAGTGTTAGAGATTGATGGGTAGCTGTTCTACAACTTAGCTACACCCCAAGTAATTTTATTTTAGTTTTTCAAGATAGGGTTTCTCTGTGTAGACCTGGAGCTTGTTCTGTAGACCAGGCTGGCCACAAACTCACAAAGATCCACCTGCCTTTGCCTCCTGAGTATTAGGATTAAAGGTGTGCATCACCACCATCCAGCCCCAAGAAATTTTTAAAGTGAAATTGACAATAACCTGAGTTGCAGATTTGGTTCCTACTGAATTTTGTAGAAATTTCCCTTTACTTGATGTTTGAATCTTGTGTTTGGGAATTGAATCTTGGTACTCAGTATGTGGTGCTTGAATCCTTTACTTGACACATCAGTTTTTGTTCTCTAAAGCAATACAACATGGTAGTTGAGACTCAGACAAGGTAAATAAAGAGGGATTATGAAGGGAAAGGTGTTAAGGAGAGCAAGTCTCACCATCACCAATGTTCCCAATTTCAGCAGAGGATATGTATGGAAATCGAAGAATTGAATGCTCACATTCTGTTTTAAAAAGAAACACTCTCATGTCCCCAGAAGACTATTGCATTTCTATCCATGAACTTCAGTTTTAAGATGACTGTGTGGAAAATGGCCTTCATCAAACCCCCAAGTGCTCTGAAAAGCCATCTTGTAGACCAGGCTGGTCTCGAACTCACAGAGATCAGCCTGCCTCTGCCTCCTGATTGCTGGAATTGAAGGCATGAAACATCACTGCCCGGCTTCTGAAAAGCCATCTTGTTTTCATTTACCTCCTCTGGCATGTACATTGGCATGTAAAATGCATCCTTCCATGTGTATTAACGTCTTGTTTTAGCTCAGTGTTTCCCTAGTGGAGGGAGTGAAAATGTGCTTAAAATCGGATTTCTCATCTGGAGATATTTGGACATTGGACATGGCCGTTTTCTACAAAACTAAGGACAGCTGATACATCACTATAGAAGGACATGAACCCTTTTGTTTTTTTTTTTTTTTTTTTTTTTTTTGCTTTACTCTGATAGTAAGAAATGTAGCCTTTACCAGTATGGTGATACACTTCCGAAATTTCCAGGTGCACAGTGTTGCCTGTATTTTTCTTGAAACAGTTGTTAATGGCCCTTTTGCTCAATGCCAGGTGGATCCAGATCTGCCTTCTTTGAAGTGTTCCCATATTAAAGCTTCCTTTTGTTCAGCTCCTCTCCCTGACTCATTGCATAACACTCTTTTCTGACTGCTTTTATTTTTAAACGGGAGGAACGGACTTTAAATCTATTGTGCTAGGCTTGGAGTTTTTTCTTCAGTATGTTTATTAAGTGGAAGCTTTATGGTGGCTGACTTCAGAGAGTTCAGCCCTCCTGGAGCATTAATTATTCTCCTTGTAGGTGAGGCCTTTTCCCTACCATCATACTCTCCAAACTCAGTTACATAACAGTACACGAAGCTCAGCAAACTTCAAATCCCCAAGGGTGGTTTAGCAGGTATAAAAGGAATATCATTAAAGCACTGGGTACTAGGTTAGTGATTGGAAGTAGATACAGCTTTAGATCTAAACACACCCCCACCATACTCCTCCCAAAAAAGAGAGAAAACACATCAAAAGAAAGTAAAGGATGCGACACCTCCAAGGCTTCTCAGTTTTAACTCCTGAGGCATTACTGCTGTGGGAGATCCAGGACCCGTGCTCCAACCAGGAAAGTTTTCATAGCAAGCAAGGTACCTCCCTTGCCTACCTCTCTTTTTTGGCTAAGAAGAAAGGGCTGAGCAAAGTCTTCCAATCTTTCCAAGGACCAGGAGTATTTTCTTTTTCTCCTTAGAGCTGTGACTAATCCTCTATAGCTACTTCGAGTCTCTTAGTTATCAACAATGATACTTTCTCTAGCATGTCCTAGATGCAAAATACAACAGAGCCTGGCTTAACACAGCTATGAGGAGACGAGGGAGTTCAACCCTCACTTTAGAGAACTCTGGTTTCTCTAGATCTGCAACCTTTCCTGTGGAATCTACTGTATATGCTGGAGGGTTTTGGCAAAGCTGTTGTGGGTTGCTAACAACTTCTAAAACAGGAAGGGATGGGTGAAAATCTGGCTTTGTTACTTTGATTTTCTTGAAGTCACTCAGAAAGTTGAGCTTGGCCCAGGCTGAATGTCCTCATTTCCTACAGAGGAAGAGGTGAGCCCTAATCTGAATTCCTTCTTTGCCCTTGACCAACACTAGGAATAACTGAAAAATGCAACAAAAAGTCTCAGTTGTGTTCTGTCTAGGAGAGAAGACAAACAAAGGTACATGGCACAAGAAGGACATGCCTTCTCCCAGGACAAATATTTCAGATCACTACTACAGAGAAAGGTCTCATTTGTTGCCTACTTGGGGACCTAGGTCCTAGAATTGCTAGTAGATGTTTAATACTATAGATAGATAGATAGATAGATAGATAGATAGATAGATAGATAGATAGATGGTGTGTGTGTGTGTTGATAATGTTGATAATCAGAAAATCATGGTTTTGGCCAGGCATTGGTATTGTAATGAACAGTAAAGACTGTCTCTTAATTCTGATTATCCATGCTATTGCATGAGTCAGCACTTGGCTTGGCAACATGTCCTAGTGAGGTTAAGCAGGCTCATGTTTCTCTTCCTTCTTAGATGAATAAATGAAGCGGCTTCTTTTTTATTTAATTCCAGTGACAAAATGTTCCCGGCTTTTGGGTTTGGCGCCAGGATACCCCCAGAGTACACGGTGAGTGAGCAGAGGTAGGATCTTGTACTGCACTGTGGAAAGTCATCTCAGAAATCTTGCTCTTGCTCTCTGTGACACTATGGTGGTCTAAGAGTGCCCTTGACCCTCCCCCCAAAAAATGTTTCTTGGTGTTTTTGGTATGTATTTTAAAGGGCCAGTTACAAGGTTCCTTGATTTAACTTATTGTCATTATGAGAGACTGAGAAAACACCCAAAACCATTGAATTCCAGAGATTCAAACTGTATTTATTCAGATCTCCCTAACCATTGCCAATGGTAATGTGTGTAGTATATAAGTTGGATAGACAAAGGGAGATCTTGCTAGCTAAAGAAAAACTTTAAGATAAATAAACCAAATAGGGCAGCTGGCGGTCAGCTCACTTGCCTGGAATCTGTGGCGGATAAAGGGACGGTGGGCACACACCAGCTGTGACCTCCCACTAAGAAAGGAGGTGTCTGTCTTGTAATGAGATGACCTATTTTTTTTAGTACCCAAGAGACTTAATGGTCAAAAATACCTTTGAAATGGAATTTTCCATAAAATTCCAAGTGATTTAATAAAACTGTCCAGATGTCAGACTGTCCCATTTCTTTTTATCAGATTTTAGGGGAAAGGAAATAGCAAACAGTGTATTAGCTAACGTTATGCTTAGGCACTGCCAGGCAGGGAAGTTTGTGATGGAAGATTTCAGGCTAGATTGCTTTATTCGTTCTTTTCATAAGTAGAAGGCACTCTATTTCACCTATGTGTACATGAAGATCCCCATGCACTGTAATTCTGTTTGTCAGAATTACCCTTAAATGTCAACAGCTTAGCCAATGCCTCTGCAAGCAATACCAAGTCTAGCAGTCAGCTTGAGTTAATTGAGTTCTTAGTTTTTTACATAGGTGGGCACGAGTAAGAGCTCATCCAACTTTAACCCTTCCGTCTGTGGCCAGGTGAATCTAGAAAATATCTGTAGTCAGCTTTTTCTTTTCTCTTTTTCTTTAATATGCTTTTCTTCCCCTCCTGCCAGCATTTGTCTGATTCTGGAAAATCTTCCTGTCACCTCAGCTCCCCGGGGAGCTGAGAATTCACCCTCCATCTCAGATTGATTGTATAATGGCTTAAAATGGTGCCTGCTGCTTAACTCACAAAGAATGTAATGCCCTTTGTTTGCAAACCCTGAGCCCCCAGTGCCTCCTTACTGGGTGCAAGTCGTAATTTTCCTTTCTTCCTCTTTTACAATTTTAATCGGTGCCTAGGTCTCTCATGACTTCGCAATCAACTTTAATGAAGACAATCCAGAGTGTGCAGGTAAGTCACAACAGGAAAGAAAGTCAGTGTCTCGGAGCCTGAACCTGTACATCTCTCCTAGGGTAGCAGCTCAGTTGTGAGTGTCCACAGCACAGAAACAGGCTCTGAGAATCCATATGAGCCACGCTGCTCCCCAGGGAATTGAGGACTACACTATAGAGTGGGATGATACACCCTGGAAGAGACAATGTGGAGAGATCTTGAGCTTTCACTAAAACCTTTCTAGTCAAACTAAAGTTAATCACTCAATTAGCTTCAGTTAATTAATTTATTAAAACTTAATTTTAATTTTTTTTAAAGAGGAGAATGGCCCATGGGTGGATCAGGATGAGACATTCTTCTTTCTCCTTCTCGACTCTTTTTTTTTTTTTTTTTTTTTTTTTTTTTTAATATATTTTTTTTTTTTTTTTTTTTTTTTTTTTTAAATAAAAAAAAAAAAAAAAAAAAAAATAATAATAAATATTTAGAAAATTGCGGCGCTCTTTCCATACCACCACCTGCTGGCAAGGGGGGGCGGCCTCGGGAGAGAAAAAAAAAAAAAAAAAATAGAAGCTGGAGGGAGGACGGCTCTTTCTTCTGGAATTTTAAAAGGAAGATAAGCCCAGCCTCAGCCCGAGGCGGCGGGGGAAAAACAAAACAAAGCAGGGAAGGGAGACACCACCTCTTTTTTTTTTTTGTAGGAAAAAAAATATTTTTTTTTCCTAACTTTTTTTTTTTTTTTTTTTTTTTTGTGTGGGGGCGTTTTTTTTTTTTTTTTTTTTTTTTTTTATTTTTCCCCCCCCCCCCCCCCCCCCCCCCCCCTCCCTCCCACAAGACTTCCCTCCCTCCTTCCCTCCCTTTTGCCCTCTCTACCCTCTCCCATGCACTCTAAACACCCTCCCCTCCCAACCCCCCACCACAATACAATATGTAGGGGAATGCCATCCAGTTGGGGTCATGTAGATCTGACAGGTCCTGTGAAGTAGGGACTAGGGCTTCTCTCCTATCTCTAGAATAAGGCAGTTATCCCTCCATGGGGGATATGTTTGCAAAGTCCTTTTGTGCACCAGGGATACATCCTGGCTCCACTGTCTGAGGTCTCTTAGACTGCTCAGACCTTCTGGCTGAGACCCATATTCAGGGGGGTCCGAGTCAGACCCCCTGTTGGCTTCCCAGCTATCAGTCTAGTGGCCCTTAGCTCCTCCTTGTTCAGGTAAGCTGTCTCTATGTACTTCTACCGCATGGTCTTGTCCTCTCCATCTGCTTCTGGGTTCTAGTTTGACTCAGTGTTTATGTATGGGTGTTTGCTCCTGTTTTCAACAGGCATTAGTTGAGGACTCCATGGAGAAGTTAGTTGTTGATCTCACTCTCCGGGGAAGGGTATTTATGATAGCCTTTCCACGGAAGCTGAGATTGTTAATTGGGAGCAGTCTTGTAGTTCCCTCGACCTTTCTTTGTGTTCAACTTTATCTTCAAACCAATATTGGCTCCCTCTTTTATGTTCTCTCTCTCTGTCTCTGTCTCTCTCTCTCTTTCCTATTTTCCATTCCTAACCAGGCTCAATCCTCCTGGTCGCACATGCCTTCCTCTCCTCCCTCTCATTTTCTCCTACTTCTCTCTCCATTAGCTGTCCTCCCCCACTATACCTGAGGTCTGGGGGACTTGTCCCTTCCCAGTTCTGTGAGGGACTTTATATGAATCTCTTAGAATACAACTTGTATCCTAGTTCCTCTGGTGATGTGAATTATAGGCTGGTGATCATTTGATCTAGGTCTAAAATCCATATATGAGTGAGTACATACTGTGTTCCTCTTTTTGTGACTGGGTTACCTCATTCAGGATGGTTTCTTCAAGTGCCATCCACTTGCCTGCGAATTTCAAGATACCATTATTTTTTTCTGCAGAGTAGTATTCCATTGTGTAGATGTGCCACATCTTCATTAACCATTCTTCAATTGAAGGGCATCTAGGTTGCTTCCAGGTTCTTGCTATTACAAATAGTGCTGCTATGAACATAGTTGAACAGATGTCTTTGTTGCATTGATGTGAATCCTTTGGGTATATGCCTAAGAGGGGGATTGCCGGGTCCTGTGGTAAACTAATTCCCATTTTCCTGAGGAACCGCCATACTGATCTCCAAAGTGGCTGTATGAGTTTGCACTCCCACCAGCAGTGGAGGAGTGTTCCACTTTCTCCACATCCTCTCCAACATAAGTCATCACTGGTGTTTCTAATTTTAGCCATTCTGGCAGGGGTAAGATGGTATCTCAAAGTTGTTTTGATTTGCATTTCCCTGATAGCTAAGGATGTGGAGCATTTTCTTAAGTGTCTTTCAGCCTTTTTGATTTCCTCCATTGAGAATTCTTTCTTCAGTTCTGTACCCCATTTTTTAATAGGGTTATTTGGTGTTTTGTTGACTAGTTTCTTGAGTTCTTTGTATATTTTGGAGATCAGCCCTTTGTCGGATATAGGATTAGTGAAAATCTTTTCCCAGTCAGTGGGCTGCCGTTTGGTCTTGTCAACTGTGTCCTTTGCCTTACAGAAGCTTCTAAGTTTGAAGAGGTCCCATTTATTAATTGTTTCTTTCAGTGTCTGTGCCCCTGGAGTTATGTTCAAGAAGCGGTCTCCTATACCAATTTGTTCAAGGGTACCTCCTACTTTCTCTTCTAAGAGGTTCAATGTGGCTGGATTGATGTTGAGGTCTTTGATCCATTTGGACTTGAGTTTTGTGCATGGCGACAGACATGGGTCTATCTGCAGTCTTCTACACACCCTCATCCAATTGTGCCAGCACCATTTGTTGAAGATGCTGTCTTTGCCCCATTGTATAATTTTAGCTGTTTTGTCGAAAATCAGGTGTTCATAGGTGCGTGGATTAATATCAGGATTTTCAATTCGATTCCATTGGTCTACCTGTCTATTTTTATGCCAATACCAGGCTGTTTTCAGAACTATAGCTCTGTAGTAGAGCTTAAAGTCAGGAATGGTGATGCCTCCTGATGTTCTTTTATTGTATAGGGTTGTTTTGGCTATCCTGGGTCTTTTGTTTTTCCATATAAAGTTGATTATTATCCTTTCAAGGTCGGTGAAGAATTGTGGTGGGATTTTAATGGGGATTGCATTGAATCTGTAGATTGCTTTTGGTAAGATTGCCATTTTTACTATGTTTATCCTACCTATCCAAGAGCATGGGAGGTCTTTCCATTTTCTGGTATCTTCTTTAATTTCTTTCTTTAGAGTCACAAAGTTCTTATTATATAGATCTTTTACTTGTTTGGTAAGCGTTACACCAAGATACTTTATGTTGCTTGTGGCTATTGTAAAGGGTGATGTTTCTCTGATTTCTTTCTCTGCCTCTTTGTCGTCTGAAAAAAATAGGGCTACTGATTTTTTTGAGTTTATCTTGTATCCTGCTAGTTTGCTGAAGGTGTTTATCAGCTGTAGGAGTTCCCTGGTAGAGTTTATTGGGTCGCTTATGTAAACTATCATATCATCTGCAAATAGAGACAGTTTGACTTCTTCCTTTCCAATTTGGATGCCCTTGATCTCCTTTTGTTGTCTTATAGCATTAGCTAGAACTTCTAGTACGATATTGAAGAGATATGGAGAGAGAGGACAGCCTTGTCTTGTTCCTGATTTTAGAGGAATTGGCTTAAGTTTCTCTCCATTCAGTTTGATGTTAGCAGTTGGTTTGCTGTATATTGTTCTTATTATGTTTAGGTATGTTCCTGTTATCCCTGACCTCTCTAATACCTTTATCATGAAAGGGTGTTGAATTTTATCGAAGGCTTTTTCTGCATCTAGGGAGATAATCATATGGTTTTTCTTTTTCAGTTTGTTTATATGGTGGATCACGTTGATAGATTTTCGTATGTTAAACCATCCCTGCAATCCAGGTATGAAGCCTACTTGATCATGGTGGATGATTTCTCTGATGTATTTTTGAATTCGGTTTGCCATTATTTTATTGAGTATTTTTGCATCGATGTTCATCAGGGATATTGGTCTGTAGTTTTCTTTCTTAGTTGTGTCTTTGTGAGGTTTGGGTACCAAAGTTATTGTGGCCTCATAAAAAGAGATTGGCAATAAACCTTCTGTTTCTATCTTGTGGAACAGTTTGAGGAGTAGTGGTATTAGTTCTTCCTTGAATGTCTGGTAGAATTCTGCACTGAATCCATCTGGCCCTGGACTTTTTTTCGTTGGAAGGCTTTCGATGACTACTTCTATTTCATTTCGGGTTATAGGTCTATTTAAGTTGTTTGTCTGTTCTTGATTTAATTTTGGTAAGTGATAGTTATCAAGAAACTTGTCCATTTCCTTTGAATTTTCAATTTTTGTGGAATACAGATTTTCGAAGTATGACCTGAAAATTGTCTGGATTTCCTCTGTGTCTGTTGTTATGTTCCCCATTTCGTTTCTGATTTTGTTAATTTGCATGTTCTGTCTCTGCTTTTTCGTTAATTTGGATAAAGGTTTATCAATCTTGTTGATTTTCTCAAAAAACCAACTCTTTGTTGCATTGATTTTTTGTATTGTTTTCCTGGTTTCTATTTTGTTGATTTCAGCCCTCAAGTTGATTATTTCCTGGCGTCTGCTCCTGCGGGGTGAATTCGCTTCTCTCTGTTCTAAGGTTTTCAGTTGCGCTGTTAATTCATTTATGTGACTATCCTCTGTTTTCTTCATATGGGCACTTAGTGCAATGAACTTCCCTCGTAGCACTGCTTTCAAGGTGTCCCATAAGTTCGGGTATGTTGTATCCTCATTCTCGTTGAATATTAGAAAGTCTTTAATTTCTTTCTTTATTTCTTCTTTGACCCAGGAGTGGTGCAATTGCACATTGTTAAGTTTCCATGAGTTTGCAGGTTTTCTGCTATTTGTATTGTTGTTGAATTCCAATTTTAAAGCATGGTGGTCCGATAAGATACAGGGGACTATTTCTATTCTCTTGTATCTGTTGAGGTTTGTTATGTCTCCTAGTATGTGGTCGATTTTAGAGAAGGTTCCATGTGGAGCAGAGAAGAAGGTATATTCTTTTGTCTTTGGATGGAATATTCTATAGATGTCTGTTAGCCCCAGTTGAGACATAACTTCTGTTAATTCTTTTGTTTCTTTGTTGAGTTTCTGATTTGTGGTCCTGTCTAGTGTTGAGAGTGGTGTATTGAAGTCTCCCACTATAAGTGTGTGAGGTTTTATATGAGCTTTGAGTTTTAGTAGTGTTTCTTTTACGAATGTGGGTAGCTTTGTATTAGGGGCATAGATGTTCAGAATTGAGACTTTGTGTTGATGGATTTCTCCTGAGATGAATATGAAATGACCGTCTTCATCTCTTTTGACTAGTTTTGGTTTGAAGTCTAGCTTGTTAGATATTAGGATAGCTACGCCTGCTTGCTTCTTATTTCCATTTGATTGGAAAATCTTTTCCCAACCCTTTACCCTGAGGTAATGTCTATCTTTGGAGCTAAGATGTGTTTCTTGTATGCAGCAGAAGGATGGATTCTGTCTTCGTATCCATTCTGTTAATCTGTGTCTTTTTATAGGTGAGTTAAGACCATTAATGTTGAGGGTGAGTAAGGTCCATTGATTGTTGATGCTTGTTTGGTTTAGGTTTGTTGTTGGCAGTGGTATTGTGAATATATTTGTTCTGCTTCACCCTAGGTTTCTGGTGTAGTTGGATTATCTGTTGCCTACATTTTTGTGGGCGTAGTTACCTTCCTTGGGTTGGAATTTTCCTTCCAATACTTTCTGTAGGGCTGGATTTGTAGATACATATTGGGAAAATCTGGTTTTGTCATTGAATATCTTGTTCTCTCCATCTATATTGACTGAGAGTTTTGTTGGTTTTTAGTAGAGGGGGGGGGGGGCGGCCTTCTTTTTTTAATTTTTTTAAATCTATCCAGCACCCCCCCCTCGGGGTGGGCCTCCAGGGGGAGGGGGGGTTTTTTTTTGATGGGCCCGCCTTTTTTTTTTACCTGCCTTTTTTCCTTCGCTGCTCTTAATATTTTTTCTTTATTCTGTATGCTAGGTGTTTTGATTATTATATGTCGAGGGGTCTTTTTTCTTTGGTCCAGCCTATTTGGGGTTCAGTATGCTTCTTGTACTTTCATGGGCATGTGCTTCTTCAGATTTGGAAAGTTTTCCTCGATGATTTTGTTGAATATGTTTTCAGCACCTTTGAGCTGGGCTTCCTCACCTTCCTCTATGCCTATTATTCTTAGGTTTGGCCTTTTCATGGTGTCCCACATTTCCTGGATATTGTGTGTTAAGGATTTGTTGGATTTATGGTTTTCTTTGGTCGATGAATCTATTTCTTCTAGTTTATCTTCTGCGCCTGAGATTCTCTCTTTCCATCTCTTGAATTCTATTGGTTATGCTTGTGTCCGTGGTTTCCGATTTTTTGCCCAGCTTTTCAATTTCCAGCTTTCCTTCCATTTGTGTTGCCTTTATTTTCTCAATTTCGGTTTTCAAATCTTGAACCGTTTCCTTCACCTGGTTAATTGTTTTTTCTTGGCTTTCTGTACTTTCCTTAAGGAATTTGTTCATTTCTTCCACTTTTTTGTTTGTTTTTTCCTCTATTTCTTTAAGGGATTTTCTCATATCTTCTTTGAGGGCCTCTATCATTTTTATGATGGTGATTTTTAAGTCGTACCCTTCTGCTTCCTCTGCTTTGTTGTTGTGTTCCATTCTAGTTGGTGTAGATTCCCTAGATTCTGGTGGTGTCATGTTTGTCTTTCTGTTGTTAGGTGTTCTCTTGTATTGCCTTCTTCCCATAGTTTCTTCCTGTAGGTGTTGGTGGTGTCTCTTCCCTCTCTCTATGGTCCTTCCCAGATGGGCTTATGAGGATCAAAGATTCAATGTCTGTATCTCTGTGTGGTCCAAGCTCTCTAGGAGGCTTCTCTCTGGCCAATAGCCGGCAGAAGAGGACGAGGGCTGGACTGGAACTTGAGAAGGTTTTGCAGGGTAGTGGGATCTCACTGGAAACTGGCGCTCTCCAGCTGAGACCTCGTTCTTTGGCAGGGCCCGGATTTGGGGGTCAAGGATCTTGCCTGCAGGAACTCCAAGTGGACCCGCAGAGATAGGCGGATCTCTGGGAGGGGCCTGGGACTCCAGCAGAGGGCTGGAGGCGGGGTCAGGGACCAAGCCGGTGGAAATTACAGGTGGTCCCACGTGGATAGTCAGGTCTCCTTTGTTCGGAGTTGCTCCGAGAGGTCTCCGAAGTAGGGTCCTCCTTCTCGACTTTTCATCTAAATTTTCCTCAATTTCCTCTCTGGGTAGATTTAAGGAGAGAGGGAAACCCAGAAATCACTTTCAGGAAATTGACCAAAGTGACATTGAACAAATATCTTCATGGTTTCGTGCAAGACAGAGATCAAAGGTTTAATGACTTGGTCTAGTCCATGTTATTTTGTTTCCTCCTGGCCAGAAATGCCTACACATAATTTCACAGAAAAATGATGTTAAAGGGACAGTGATAATTATAACACATTCTGCTTCAAATAAGTAACCAATAACAAGGCTGTGAAGGTAGGCATTTTTAGAGCATAAATGTTCATATTTCCACATTTTCATTGAGGAAGGAGTGGGCTATACCATGAAGGGTGAACATTCTGTGATTTCTTTCACGAACTTAGCATTTAGTCTCCAAGACTATGGTATCCATATCATTGGATCTGAACAGAGTACCCTCAAAGACATAATCTGCAATACCCTAGTCTTCCTTCCCCCATCACTCCTCTGTTCTGCAGACATCCCAGCCTAGCTGAAACCCTGAGCTTCCAGTTCAGGGAGAGCTCCTGCCACAGGGCAGCAGTAAGGTAGTTCCCACTGGGGGAGATTGTGGTGCATTCTCTAGTGTTCATCATTGCACACTTGAACTTCAACTGTGTGATGGTTTTGGAAAGGAAAGCAACCTTCCTAATCTTAGGTTTGTGTGCCAAAAGAAAAAGGAGCTTCTGTTCATTCGGCATCACTTTGATTCTGCTCCACACTGTGAAAAGATTTGGCATCTTCCTTTGTAATGACAGGCATTGGTGTTTCAGGCTAGCCAAGGAGGCATGGAGTGTTTTCAATAAGGTTGGAAAACAGTATAAGGCAGAACAGAAATTGCCCATTCAGATTGTCCCCAAGCTGATTTGCTGTATGTGGTGACAGTGGAGAGCAACTTCAGCAGTGACCCCTGTGGATCCCTAAGTCAGAATCTGGAGCAGTGTGCTGCTTCGGTACCAAGAAGGATAGAAGGATGAGCCGAAGTCCGAGAAAGCAAAAGTCACATGGGCACCAACAGCATCCATGTGAATAAAATGGATTTCCAAATGGCAATTTATTGGCAGTGGAATTCTGTGGGGCCAGACTGTAGCATGAAATGTGGTCAGAACCCATCCCATCTGAAGAACAGCTCAGGCAGAGCTGCCTCTCTCAGCAGAATCCCAGCCTTTTTCTATTTCCTGAGTTCCTGTGACCTCAGGGTGAATGGCCTTCTTTAAATGAGTGACTGGCATCAGTTATCTCCTAACTCCCCACCTGTGTGCAGCCTGGCTGTTTTCTTGTTCATGACACACTCGCTGTGTTCTCAACATTGCTGCAAGCAGTGTTGGGGGGGTGGGGAGTAGAGAAGTGTGTGAGTCATGATGCTTTCCCTCAGTGAATGTAGTATCTGGAGAGATGCTCTCCTGTGCACAGGACAGTTACAGGCAGTCCAGGCACTGTTTACTCTAAAATCAGCAACATAAAAAGAAAAAAAAAAGAGAGAGAGAGACAACCCACACCCTAAAATCAACTTGTTTGATGGTTCTTTCAACTCAAAGACCTGGATTTATATATAAGTCTGCAACTTAGTTTTTCTGAGACCTAGGGCCGATTGTGTAACCTCTCTAAGCCTCTACTTTTTCACCTATAAAATGGGTGCAGCCTCTGCCTCCTTAAGCTATGGTGATCTAATAAAGGCTTAAGTGAAGCAAAGTTTGTGGAAACAGTTGCTTTTGACTTGGCTCCTTTTAATTTGATTTAAGTGGGGGGGCGAGGAGAGGCAGCAATATACTGACCTCAAATCCCCCTTTGCCTTAAGAACTTGCATGTGTCTGTACCCTGTGCCTATTAGCTTGTGGTTTCCTGGGACTTCTAACAGTGGGAGTGGGGTGTCTCTGACTCTTTTGACTGCTCCTGGGATCCTTTTCCTCATTCCAGGTTTCCTTCTCCAGAGTTTGTGCCTAGTCTCATTGCGTCTGGTTGATGTCATTGGGAGGCCTGCTCTTTTCTGAAGGAATATGGAGGAGACTGGATCTAGGGGAAAAGGAACAGGGTGGGGAGAGAACTAGAAGGAGTGGGGAGGAAGATATATTGTGTAAGAGAAGAATAAATAAAAAAAAAGTCAAGTCTGCATGTGGTACAGATAAGTTTGTTTTTGTGAGTATGCAACTCCATTTGGAGGGACTATGGAAGTGTTGGTTTTTCAAATCTCGCTTCAGGAATTCAAGGAGTCGTGGAAGCCTATCAGAGCTGCCTCCCCAAGCTCCAGCTTTATGGTCCCACCAACATTGCTCCCATCATTCAGAAGGTTGCCAAGTCAGCTTCAGAGGAGACCAACACCAAGGAGGCATCGGTAAGGAGAGGGACAGGCTACTCATAGCAGGGGTTTACCCTGCCTCATTCTAATACTGGTCACCTCACCCATTCTAGCCTGGCAATCAATTCTAGGTTTTCTTTTGTTTTTAAATTAATGTATTGTTGATTTTACTGTTTCATTGTTATTTATTAATTAATTTATTTACTTTGCATCTTGTGGCTTCAGCTGCATTTGGAATAGTCAAATCTTGCTGTCATAGGATAACTGGGTTCTGGTTGTGCCATATTGCCCTTTCTGTTAGTGGCTGTGTTCTTACAGTGGTGTTTTGGCATCTGGATTTGGGATGGTTATAAGTTCAGGTGTTGATTCCTCCTTTTGTCTTTGTTGGATAGGTGTTTTGTTCCTTGATTTCTGTTTCCTCTCTGGTCTTCTGGCCTAAGTGGCCAATAGCTCTGGTGACTGGCGAGTCTTCATGTCCAGTAGGATGTCTTCACTGAGATTTGGGGGGCCTTGGGTCCCTAGAATCAGCCTGGCCTCTGGTATAGTGTTCTTCAGAAACTGTAGATCAGAATATGGAGCCTGGAAGAAGGGGTGCAGTGTAGGGTCGTTGGGTGGGCTTTAGGGGTGCTATGGGACAGTGGGTGGTGTCTTACATGGGGTTCCTAACACAAGCCAGGCCTCTAGTAAAGCCTACATCTTCTTCCAAAGTTGTAGGCCAGAATCTGGAGCCCAAGGAAGGTATGCAGTCTGAGGTTGTTAGGCAGACTCTAAGGAGTGTTAGCAGGTAGTGGGAGACAAGCCTTGCCTCCAGTGAAGCTGCTGGGGCTGTGGGCAAGTGGAAGGGCCATGGGATATGCCCTGGGGATCAGGGTCTGGGGAGTGGAGCAGCTTAGCTGGGAGGAAGGTCACTCACCTAATCTTCCAACTCCTGGGGACTGTACCTGGGCCAATGGAGTCTGCTGGAGTTGTGGGAAAAGGCTGGCTGCTAGAAGGATGAGGAGATGGAAGGGGTTGGGCATCAGAGTGGGTCTTGGGGAAACAGAATTCAGAAGGTGGGAGCAGTCCAGCTGGCAGGCAGGTCACCACTGGTGAGGGCTGCACCAGAGTAGTGGAATCCTCCAGGAGTTCCAATTCTAGTTTTTCTAAAAGGCTGAACTTCTCTATCTTCAATCTCTCCATCTGAGAAACAGAGGAGTTAATGAAATCCAACTCTGCCAGGATGTAGAGCTCAGGGTTGACACAATTGCCTGCCCCTTTGCCTGAACACAGACACCCAATAATGGACGCCACTGTTTACTGAGTTGTACCGGACTCATCTCCTGTCCCAGTGAAAAAAACAAGTCCAAAACTAAGCTTGTTTTCCAATATACCTAGACTAGAGGTAGACGCAGCATGCCTCTTAAATAAGAGTAGTAGAAGGGCTAGGAAACCACTCAATGTCAATGAGTGTTTGCTATGTAACCATGAGAAAGTGAATTTGAACTCACAGCACCTCTACAAAATCCAGGCATGATTGTGTATGTCTACAAACCCAGCATTCACTTGGGGGTAGAGACATGCTGATACCTAGAGTTTTTTGGCCACTAAACCTTCCCTTTGACATTTTAGAAGTAAATATGTCACCACAATACCTTTCCTGTGTGTTATTTAATGGTATCAGTATGTTTCTATCTAGCACTATGATTTTTTTTTTCAGATGGAGTGACACTACAGCTGTCTGAAAGCTCTGTGTAACCTAAACCTGGTTTCCAGGATGCCACATTTGCATAAAGAAGATAACACTCCACCCTTATCTTGCAATAATTGCCCTGACCTGCTTGCACTGCCCCATGCTTGCTTCTGTTAGGCTGGATTGAGGACCTGCTACCAAATGTCAGCCACTACTTTTGTGCCGTGGGACACATCCTCTCTCAGTTATCCAGAGACTGAACCATTGTCCTCCCTCATGTAGACACTCCTGCAGTATCTCCCATTTAATCCAAAGCTGTAACGGCTTAACCCTACTTTGCCCTTTAGCACCTGCCCCTAGTGTTGTAACCCTGTGCAGCAAATTCATTGAAAGTAAGCTGCTTTGCTTCTCTCCACCTCTCCTCCCACTAGTTTGTCCCCACAACCCTGTGGGAGTTTCTTCACCAGCATCCCTCTGAAGACATTCCATCCTGTTGCCTCACCAACCACCCTCTTGGTCTCTATTTCTGCTTCCTCCTCTTCCTCCCTCACCTCCTTCTCCTCCTCCTCACTGCTCAATGCTATATCTCCTCTGCTCTCTACCTGGGGTGATCTTGTTCATTGGCATGGCCTCATATACCTCTAGAATGCTATCACTGTAAAAAAGAGATCATTAATCCAACTTGCCTTGTCATCATTCAGCTATTATCAATATCTTCATCTGGATGTTGAATGGCACTCATGCAGAGTCCAAATCATAGTCCTTGGTTGTCTCCATGAACCTAGTTTTCTCCCTCAAACTCTTTCTCCTCCCACCAGTGCCTTCCCACAAACCTGATGGTCCTTCCTTCCCAGCATTCCTGTCTTCCCCATTTCTGCACTTTCATCATGCAACTAGTCACTTAGACTATGACCTTGAAGTAATCTGGGGTCCTTGGCTTACCCCCATGTCTTTTCTTTTTCTCATTTCCTGTTGCTGAATGACAGACAACCTCAACCAAGTTAAAACCACAACAAACTTTCCACCTTTCCTGTGGATCAGAGATGCAAACACAGCTGGCCTGTATAGCCCTGGATTAGATCTCCCAAGGTTGCAGTTAAGTAAGATACATGCCTGCCATGTAGTTGCTGGTTTCTGATCAGAAACCTCATTTCTTCATTGTTCAGAAGAACTACTAAAGCTTCCCATGGCATTGCAGCTAGCTGTGCTCAAGTAAGCCAAGAGAAGGCAAAGAAGTAACTGTGTCTCATAACTTAGTACAGAAGTCTCACTCCATCATCTCATAATACCCTACTGATTGCACAGACATTCCAATTCAGTGTGGGAAAAGACAACATGAGGCCATTAACTAAGGAAGTGAGGGTGGTTGGGTGCCATCTTGAAATCCTACTAAGACACCCCCATCCAATTCATCAGAGAGTTATGACACTAGTCTATTTTCAAACTATATCCCAAGTGTTATCACCTCTTAGTACCTTTGTGGCTACTGTCTGTTCTGGACCAACAACTGTTTTCACATAGACCAAAGCAAATCCTAAGTGGGCTCTGTGCTTCATGCAGGAAGCAGACTGATCTTTTGAAAACATAACTGAGGGGTTGGCAATGTAACTCAGTGGTCAGAGTGCTTAGCTAGCACACACAGCTTTGGACTCAATCCCTAGTACCACATAAAGTAGGTCTGGTGGAGGACACCCATAAAGTAGGTCTGGTGGAGGACACCCATAATATCAGTATTCAGGAAGCGGAGACAGGGTGATTATAAGTTTAAGGTCATCCTCAGCTACATAGTTTATTCAAGGCCATCCTGAGATACATAAGTTCTGTCTCTCCAGCCCCTAAAATAGATTTTTAAAAAATGAAACTAAAAGCACATTCTTGCCAAATCTGGACAAGGGGAATTGAGAAAGCCTGTCTCCTTTCCTCTGTTGTAAAGCGTATCAGAGAAATCTCTGGAAATTCCTGCAGCTTGATTTTAAGAGTAGATGCTTTCAGTACCACTGGGGTACCAGGGCCTACAAAAGTAAAGGGACAACTGCACAAAGACAGGTGTGGATTCTGTGCTAATACAAGCCAACATGAGGTCATGGCTGTCACTCACACCCCTGGGGCCAGGTGAGTCCATTGTTGAAGTGATTGAAACAGTCAAAACACAGAACACATGTAAGAAGCATCTACAAATAAGACACCAGATAAATGACCCCTCTTGGCTATGTGTTTAATTTATCCTTTCCCTAGAGGTCTCTTCTTGGGTCCCTTGTTACTACTCCCAAAGAGCATGAAGTTAAGCTTCCCAGGAAAATTGTGTTAGGATTTTTCTCTTTGATATTGTAGAATTCTTCTAGGGGTAAAAAGTGCCCCTCAGTAGACCTCAGGTATAACCATAGATGATAGTAGTTCACACGAGCATTCTCCTGGCCTGACTTTGGAATGAGCTATTGTGACAACTTCATTTGAAAATTTCCATCTGGTTCAATACAGTAGTAGTCTGTAGCTTATTAAGGTTCATATATTAAACCTGGAGGAAACAAATTCTAGAACATTCATGCTCTCTTGACTCCAGAGAGTTCTCGGCTTTTGTTGTTGTAGTGAGTTGAAAATACGGTCACTCTTATTCATGTACTAGCCTTTGTAAAGCTGAGGACCAAACCAGGACTTCTTGTGTTTGACAAGTGCTCTGCTACCAAGTTAATACCTCTTCCTAGAGTGTCTTAGCCTCCCTCACTTAGTTCCTTCAATGATCAGGAGTATTGTAGGGACTGAGGAATGTTCTCTTGGGTTTGGCCTGTGTTTCGTCTCCCTACCCCTCCTCCCTCCCATCTCACAGTTATGCTAGCATAGAATGATAGACAACATCGTCATTCACTTCCAATGGATCTTCCTGCACTGATGGGTACAGAGTCTTCACTCCAATCCCCACCTCAGCTGAGCCCCGTGGCAGCCTCTCCACATGGAGAGGGGACAGGGAGACTATAAACCAAGGGCCAGGATGTCTTTCACGTGTGTACTAGGAGAACCATCACATTGACACTTGACTAGCCCTGCCCCCTAGCAGAACTTTCCACCATCATAGGCCAAGGGAAATACAGTACAAGTCCTCAATACAATTCTAAATGTTGTAGTAAACACATTTAAAAAAGCAAAAAGAAGCAAGGAGATCCATTATAATATTCTTTATGAATAATAAAGCCCAACTAAGCATTTTGTCATTTTAGCATCTGATTCATATAAAATTATGAATGAAATACTTTGGATATTTTGTACTAATACTTTAAAATATTTGTGTATTTTACATTTAATGGCATCTCAATGTGGGTGCTAAGTTATCTCCAATACTTCATCGTTATTTAGATATTATAAGTTGATGGATTAAAAAAAAATCAATTCTTTGATTTGTTCTAAGCATAGTTAAAAAGTGTTCAATAACTGAATTGGGCATCCATTTTTAATTTAAAATTCAATTCCTCTCTTACTCTGGTCACATTTGAAAGGCTCTGTATTCTCATGAGGTTGGCAACTACTATGCTAGACAGTACAGCTGTACATTTTCAAAGACCCTTAATCTGAAGGAGACCATATTTAATGATCTTGTCGTTCTTGTCTTTTGAGAAATAAGGAAGCCGATACCAAGGCACACAGAATATTCCAAGTCTCACAGAATAAGGCTTTGGATGCAGTTCTCTTGACTCCCACTCCCCTGCTTTCTACCTACCCTGAGCTTTGTAACCATCAGTAAGTTGATGGCCATACAACCCTGAACGCCCCCGATCTCGTCTATACCAGTCAGTAAGATTGTTATAATTAAGCTACAACCACTGTGCCTCTGTTCATGACCTTAAGCCTTCAGGGCTTCCTTGCAGAGGCTCAAAACTTGTCTGTGGTTGACCTGAAGCACAGATCAGAGAGGTATTAGCTGAGAACCTGAAAAGATGTGGAGGCAACAAGGGTCTTGAGGTCTCTCTAAAGTCAATGGAAAGGCAGAGGAGGAACAGACAGGCTGGAAGGAGGTGGACTCTGAAACACACAGTGTCCTAAGTGGAATGGTAATGAATGATGCCCAGCCCTGGTTTGGCTGTGAGCAGGGTAAACTAAAGTGAAGTTGATGTAAGGGTTAGCAGATGTGGGGATGCTCAGGATTTGTCAGTCCAGGAGTGGAGATATAATTGTCATCCAGAACCCAAACCACCAACCCACTAACCAAGTTGATAGATACAAATAAATAAATATTAAAGGAGACGGAACTTTGGGAACTGGTGGAGGGTAGCTTAGAATTTGCTTTGGGGAGCCCCCGAGGAAAGAATCCAGTGCTTTGAAATGTGGGTCATCAGGGGATGAACTCCTGTGTGGTGTTTTTTTGTTTGTTTTGTTTTGTTTGAGAGCACAGGTTAGTTTAGGGCAGAAATTGAAAGCAATTGATGAAGCTTTGTGCACAGAAAACAGAAATAGCCTGTCTTTTTTATCCAATGATTTGGGGTTATAAATTTTAGTTTCATGTATAGGATAGTATTTTTATTAGTTTTTGCACATGTTATAGGAGTGCTGTAATATATGGAATATGCTTCAAAAATACACTTATGAAGTAGGTAAGTGTGAACAACAAATAAAGCAAGATTGGCAATATGCTGATAGTTGATGATGCCCAGTAAGGAGCCCACAGAGGTGGCCAGGTTATTTTGTTTTTCCATTAGATCTTTCTTTAAAAAATGTTTAAACAAACCAACAAAAATGCCTGTTGTCACTCTGCAAGGAGGTCACCTAGATACAGATGTCTAATGGGTACTGTATTGTCATTTTCTCCCCTACCACACCCCTCATCATTACCTGCCATCTGATTCCTGAAGCAATACTTCATCCTGCTGATCCTGACAGACGGTGTCATCACAGACATGGCTGACACCCGGGAGGCCATCGTCCATGCCTCCCACCTCCCCATGTCAGTCATCATCGTGGGAGTGGGGAATGCTGACTTCAGTGACATGCAGATGCTGGACGGTGATGATGGAATTCTAAGGTCCCCCAAGGGAGAGCCTGTCCTTCGAGACATCGTCCAGTTTGTGCCCTTCCGGAACTTCAAACACGTATGCATAGACATCATGGGGCATCCTCATATCTCTCCCATACTCCCAGTGTTGGGAGTGGCCTGTTATCCTTGAAGCAGCATCAGCAGACCCTGCCTAGGCCGAACAAATCCTATAGGAAGGATATACAGATCACAGCTATTTGGGGAAAGGAGCATATACTGAGTTGTAAATAACAAGTCATAGTGACTGTGGTTGCCAAAGTTTTCCAAATGCTTCTCTTTCACTCAGGAAGTTTAAGACCTCTGGTTCCTTCAGGGTTGCCACAGACATTTGGGCAGCTTGCTCAGGGATACCTGAAAAAATAGCAAGGATAAGTTCAGCCTATCACAAGATTACCTGTTTGCTGTTTGCTGAATGATAGACACCCTGTATAGGGAACAGCATTGGCCATTTAGTCTGGTCACTCAGGAGCAAGATGATCAAACTAGTAATGATAAATAATAAGGCAGTTTAGTATGGTCAGTGAGGGGAAAAATACTGGAATAAGCTTGTCAAAGCAGACTGGCTCATAAGGAAGAACATACAAACTTTATATTGTCTTTGAATCACGTCTCTGCTAGCCAGAAGTCACCCATATCCGTGGTTTGTACAATTGTGGACTATTGTCCATAGTAATCAGCAAAGCAGAGTTGTGTTCCCCAGTTGGCTGGAGCAAACCCTCTACATCAGTGGTTCTCAACCTTCCTAATGCTGGAACCCTTTAATACAGTTCCTCATGCGGTGACCCTCAACGACAAAATTATCTTCATTGCTACTTCATAACTGTAATTTTTCTACTGTTATGAATCATAATGTAAATACCTGTTTTATTCCAAAGATGTTCTTAGGTGACCCCTGTGAAAGGGTTGCTTGACTGTCCCCAAGGGGGTCACAACTCACAGTTTGAGAACCACTGCTTTAGATAATATCCTAGTCTAATGCTGAGAAAGTTCTCATAACACTCTACCCACATCTCCAATTTGGGGATAATTATCAGGTCCATGGAGACAGAAATACATTGAAATTTCCACAACTGTGCCCCCAACCCCTTAGGGAAGCTGTGAGAACTGACATTAAGTCTTTCTTGGGTTCATAAAAGGCCTTTCCAGAGATACCCAAACTGTCTGGGAGACCATGGGAGTATTGTAGGTGGCCAGAGAGAGTCTCCAGTATCCTTTAATTTGTAGGCCCTTGTAAGCATTGTCCAATCACAGAGCCCATCCCCAGCCTCTGCTATCCACCACAGTGCTGGATTCTGCTCTGCTGCTGCCACAATTCCAAAGGAGGGGGCTAGACTTGAGCTCCTATCAGGAGGAAGCACCCCATGTCCTCGGTGTCCTTTACAGTTTCTCCTCTGTCACCTGAACCGTGAATGCTGTGTATCCCTTCTGGAAACACCCCTGTTAGCTTTCACAACAGTCCTTCCCTATATGGGGGCTCTAATGCCACTGAAGCCACAGAGAGGGAGGCATAGTGCCGTACCATCCAATGTAGGCTCTCTCCCACTAGATGCTTATTTGGAAAAGCCATTCTGCTCCAAAGACTCCCACTCAAATGAGTTTCCAACATTCTTCACAGCCAGTTTCTCAGCTGTGCCCTAGCACATCAAATGCAGTCTGGGATCCCAGTCACACTAGTATTGGCAATCTCAGGGACAGCGATATTCTCTTGTGTTTTCCAGGCATGACTGCCTGCACCTGTCTCCCTTGACAGGCTTTCCAGAGGTCATTTAGAAGTAGTATCTGCCACACAGCCTCACCTGAACCTTAGATTCCATTACCTGTCCAACGTCTATGGACGGGACTGTACACCCCAGGGCTCCCTGAGCTGTCCATCACCATACCGCAGCGTGATCACTCTTCTCTCTTAAAGAGGGCCACAGTGTAATTAAAATCATTAAGCAGGCAGGAAATCAATCCCCTGCTGCAGAGCTGAGTGTAGAGGACATTTTCAACTTGCAGCAAAAGCTGATCTCACCACGAGATCTGGGGGCAAGGTTGTGGGGGAAGAGCAACTGTCCCAACACCCATCCCATCTTTCGCTTTCCCCTGGAGGTTTGTTTAAAAAAAAAAAAAAAAGTATCTGAGGCTCCCCAAGCTCTCAAGCTGTCTGCTATGGACAGCAAAGTGTGGCATCACAAAGATCTGGCCTTGTCTTCACGGATGGGTGTGCTGGGGCTGTCTCGGTTTGCTGCAACTGTGTCACATGGTACCCTCTGGTCCTAATGCCTCGGAGATAGAGGGAAGGCTGTTCTTGTAAAGACTTACCTGGCCTTCCATCACCCAGGCCAAATAAAAGTAGATGCACCACCACCAAGTTGACATTTAAAACTAACCATCACACTTGCCATTGTGTAACACACACAAGAGCAATGCCATCCAGTCACAAAGAGATGCTAACCACTATTGAGCACCCTACTGTCAGATTCGTGGTGTATTTACTGCATAAAGCGTACACCGGACACACTGGCTCCTCATCCAGTGCGGCTCCCAGAGAGGCCTGACTGGGTCAGCAAGGGAATGAAGAAAGGACAGACATACAGACACATGGAGAAGTTGGGGTGGGTTGGACTTGGTTCTCTGGTGGGGGCTACAGTACCTCAGAAGCAACTGAACACGGAGCTAGGTAAAGGAAATCAAGGTAGAGGCAGCCTGTGTAGAGTTCAGACTTCGGACTGTAAATATGATAGGGAGGAGTTGTGATGGGCATTTTCTGTACACATTATCAAGATCCTTATTCATACCTCCCTCTGAGCTTCACCCAGGAAAGACTTTGCTATTCCCATGAGACTGAGGCATTTAGGATCCTTTACATAGCCAGACCCATGTCAACAATGCACATTGACTCCGGACTTCCCACACTCAGGGTTCCTCTGCTCACAACACACTGGTCCCGAGTGAGCTCATAAAACATGAGGATAGACTTGGGAGAATTTTCTGGAGACTTGCATATTTAGGACAAGGATATTAGCAGAAAACATACATGTTAAGCAGTCCATGGGCAGATGGGGATAACTTACAATTGTGCCCAGTGTGTGTGTGTGTGTGTGTGTGTGTGTGTGTGTGTGTGTATGTGTGTGTGGTATATGTATATATGTGTACATATGTGCATGTACACATAAGTAGGTATGCATGTGTATATGGAGGTCAGGTATTGACATTAGGGGTCTTCCTCTATCACTTAACCACCTTCTTTTTGAGACAGAGTCTTGGACTGAACACAAGCTCAATGTCCTCACTGGCAATGAACCCCAAGGGTCTGCCTGTCCCCTCCCAACCTCACCTCACCACACCACAGCACTTCAATGACAAGAGCATAGGCACATGTACCCAGGTGTCTACATGAATGCTGGGGACCTAAAATTCAGGTCTTCATGCTTACACGGCAAGCGCTTTACTGAATGAACCACCTGCCCAGCTCTGTCTAACATTCTGACATTGCAGCATGACATTGTGATCAACAGTTTATGTCTGAGATCCATGCCATTGAATTCCAAAAGCCAACTGCGAAGGAAAAGTCTCTGAATGTTAAGTCAGTTTGTTATTGCAGTTGGGTTGCCTTTGTCCCTGTCCTGAGCTGCATGAAGTTACATGTTGCCCGCAGCTCTCAAGTCTTATACCCTTCAAAGGACTTCAAAGCAGGGACCGACTCACAGGGAAAGCCTTCCAGCTTAAGCTAAGCATTGAAAAAGAGGATCGACAGGAACTAAAGGGGAACTGGAGACAGGGGAATTGTGGGATTGTTCCATGAGAGAATTGCCCCAGGCAGGACAAGGACATGATGCCCCTCGTGTGATCTGTGCTGGGCATTTCCAGCCTCTCTGGGGTGACACGGGCAGAGCACTGGGAGCATTTTCTCCTACCTCATCGTCATGGAGTTCAAATTAGATTTTAAAAAGCATTTCATTATCCAAACTAATCTACTCAAAATTCAATAAGCCATAAATAAAAGGGAGGCGAGGAGCTGATATTTCACACACGCGCACACACACACACACACACACACACACACACACACACACACACACACACCAGTAGCCTCTTGCTTCTCTGCATGGTAACACAGCCCTTTAAAGTGCACAGGCCCAGACTTCGAGCTATGTGACTCTGGGAAAATTGCTTAACCCCTCCGCGACACAGACTTTCAGTAAGATACGGCAAATGCTACAGATGCATTGGATGGTAGAAGGTAGAGTTTGGGTATGATGCCTGGTCCATGGAAGTGGTTAGTGTATACTGTCCATGTTATTGCTGTTACCAACTGATTTTGTGGTTTTTGTCTCTTTCCCATCCAACTCTTGCTCCTACAGCTATGTGTGTGCACCAGCACAGATATGCAAGAGGGTCCTCCTCAGGACCGGTGCTTTCTCAAGCACCAGGTGGCACTAGCCATGTGTGAATATTTGCATTCAGGTTCATTAAAACTGGGGCTAGAGAAATGACTCGGTCTGTAAAGTACGTCCGGTGCAGACCTGAGTTCAGTGTCCACCACCCATTTGTATGTATTTAGGGCCTACCACGTGGGGTTTGATAATCTACTGGGGAGCTCAACCCTGGAAAAGACTGGTTCTCGTTCTCTCAACAGCCATTAATTGCCTGTAGTCCTTCATCTAGTTCCCACCTATCCAGTGGCATGTCAAGTGGCACTGGCCTTCTGCTCTCATTTAGGCGACCATATTGTTGAGAAATAAGTAGCACAGTTCCCCTCTCAGACATAAAAGACACTGTCTGGCCCACTCATTCTTATACTCTTCCCAACCCCTCTTCCAAGACATTCCCTGGGATCTGGGTGTAGAGATTGTGTTGCAATTATATGAACTGAGGCTGGGCACCCATTGCTCATTTTGACCAGTTAGGACTTCCTGTAACTGAAGGCTGCAAGAAGGAACTTCTTTGATGAGGAGTGAGCAGCTTCTTCTTAGGTAACTAATGTTAGGGACTGTAGCTCAGACAACTCCCTTTTTGATTGTGGGAAAGTCAGCCCTCAATGGGCCCTTTTGATGGTTCTTGTGATAAAAGGGCAGTTACCAGGAGTCAGAGCATCATTCGAGGGAAAAGGAAGAGGAAAATGGAGCCAACTAGGTCTGTCCCCTGCAAGCAGAAATAAGGAGTTCTACAAATTCATCTAGGAAATTTCCACTTACCTCTCAGAGCAAAACTGGGTCACGTGGTCATTCCTAGATGGGGCGAGGAAGTTGGCAAATCAAATCGTTTTGGGCTTTCTAACCTTTCTAACCAGGGGAAAATTGGAGATGAATTTTGTTTCTGCATGTGGGTCCCCATTCAGGAGCTCTGGCTTCATTCTAAGCAGTTATACTGGTAGGAAGTATGGGTGCAGTGTGATATCTGTCACTAGTAGCATTTACAGCAGGTTACCTTATAAGAAGAAGCATTTGATTTGGCCGTGCCTAGTCCCCTCGCGATTCCTACATTTCCCATAGTTCCACTGCTTCTGGCATAGTGACTGGCACATGTTTAAAACCAAATGGCAACTTAAAAAATACAAAAGCCTGCAGGAAAGTTCATTTTCAGATGGGTCCTTACATTTGCAGACACAGAACAAGGACACTGAGTGTTGGGGTGGCTGGGTGACTGAGTGACTGGGAACTAGCTGCTGAGAGCGGGGCTCAGACGTGGGAGTCAGAGTCTGCATCTGCTTTAAGTCATGGTCCTTTCTTCTTCCCTGCAGGCATCGCCAGCTGCCCTTGCAAAGAGTGTGTTGGCTGAAGTCCCCAATCAAGTCGTGGACTATTACAATGGTAAAGGGATTAAACCAAAGTGTTCATCGGAAGTGTATGAGTCTTCCAGGACACTTGCACCATGAACTCCACACTTTTGCACAGTTCGGAAGCACTGTTCGCTAAGATTTACTACTATTCCTGTATTTAAAAAAAAAAAATAACGATAACGACAATATACATTTAAAGATAGCACGTTTCGGTGATTTTTAACTGACTTTTTTTTTTTTTTTTTTGCATGTGTAACCCCAAGGCCTGATCTGTATTGTTAAAGACTTTTTACATTGAAATACAGTCATAACATCCTCTTTACAGCATGTCGCCTTGAAATAAAATGGCATATGTATCCATTTTTATACCGGTTTGTTGAAATTTTGCTAAATTTCTTATTATCTTTACACTGTAAAGCATTTTGAAACATTTCTCGAATGTTGATAGCCAAAACGGATTTGGCTTAATCTCCTATAGGAAGAGAGATTTTTCCAAATGGCAGATGCATGGACTGTATTTTGCATGTTTAAAAATAATAATAAAAAAAATAATCTCACACTGTTTTTGCAGTTGCTATCTATAATCCCTTCCTGCTGAGAATTGCCTCTTTACTAAATAAATTTACCTACCTAGAGGTAGTCTTTTTGAAGTGGAGCTGGGTCATTTAGCCCAGTGCCTGTGTTTACATACTACCATATATATAAATTCCCCAAGAATCTTGTTCTAATGGAGCTTTTCAATGCAGGGCCAGAGGGTCTGCATGTCTCACAAGGTCCTCAGTGATGCTAATACGTTCCTTTCACTGCGGGAGGACCAGTTAGGTTCTGAATTTGTGGCTTTCACAGTAGAGATCATCTCCAACAGGGCAGTTCCTAGCCTGCTTGCCAAGGGCACCTCTTCCCCACCAGCAGCATAGAGGGCCAGCCCATCTCCATCCGAGGTGAGACTAGAAAGTAGTGAGCCTGATTCCAGAAGCTGTACACCTCATGTTAGTCTCACTGCTTTGTGGTCACACCTCTTCCTCCACCCAGACTGAGGAGTGCTCCCTCTGGCTTGCTCCTGCTTGGCTAAAAGAGGCACCACGGCTTGTCACATGGATGGTTCCAGTTCTTAGAAATTATTTCCTGAGATTCTTCCCTGGATCTTGAATGGAATCTTGTCCATGCCAAATAGCAACATGGCTCCCCAGGTATCTGCTCTACTCACTTGATCATTGAGCTCGCTATAGGGCATCTTTTGGCCTCGTTCACTACTCCTGAGTGCAACCTCCATAAGCAAAAATGACTGTGTAGGGTGGGGGTGTTTTGTCCAAATCTAAGGTAATCTTGATCTTCTTCTCTCAGAGAAATGAACAAATATTTTATAAGCTACAAAAGGCACAAAGGGAAACTTAGTTTTGGTCAGAAAAATGGTAAAGTGTACCCAAAGCAAAAGAAATGTGTTGTTGGGGTAGGTTTTTTTTGGGGGGGGTGAGGGGACAGTAATAATTAAGCAAATCAAATGTCTTGTACAATTTCCAGAGTTATAATTATAGACCTTAATCTTGCAAATACACGTCAATCAAATGCATAACATTTTGGGAATGATGGTTAAAAAAAATTGTAAGACTGAAAAAAGTCATAAATGTTTAAATTGTATTGTTTTCTGAATAAATTGGGTACTTACAGAATTCTTTTTCTAAGAGTTGTGGCCTTGTTCCTCTTTTCAAAGTAAGCTGCCAGTGAGGTGTATATTCCATATGCTTGAGGGGGCTTCAGAGGGAGACTGGTGCTTCCGACATAGAGGCTAAATTGAAATAGTTAAGTTCTGTATTACACAAATACCATTTCTAACACCAAAGCAGTGTATGAACGCTGTGTCTATGTATCTGGCACATAGGAAGCACTCGGTAGATGTTTAATCCATGCAGAGGTGAACAATAAAATGAGTGAATAAACAAATAGCTTTGTCACTGTGGCCTCTGATTGGTCTATGCCCTGCAGTAGATTGAATACGTAGGTTGAACGTTTGTGAATGTCATGTCCATTCGCTATACCATGCCACGCTCCAGTATCTGTGGGGATGTCTTCACTTGATGCAGACTTTACGGGATTCTGAGTTTGTTAGGACAGAGTCCAATTTGCCTGGCAAAACTTGTAGGTAGTTTCCTTCTCTTTTCATAACCAGACCCAAGTTCAGCTCCAAAAAATAATAAAAATATTACCTAACAAGCATTTAAGGATATCTTATCTCAGGTTGCTATAACAAGATACCACAAACACAGCAGCTTAAATTGCAGAATGTTTTTTTTTTTTTTTTCCAGAATGTTTTTTTTTTTTTTTCTAGAATGCTTTTTTTCTCTCTCATGGTTTTGTCATCTAGGAAGTCTAATCAAGGTTCCAGCCATTTGGACTTCCTCTCTCTAATTCACAGTTAGACATCTTCTTGCTTTATCCTCCATCACACACATACACACACACACACACACACACACACACACACACACACAAAACAATTGTCTGATCTATTCTTACAAGGACACTAATCCCACCACAAGAACTCCATCCTTGTTACCCAGCCCCCTCTCAAAGTCTCCGCTAATAGCATCATATTAAACATGGAAGGGCACAAATACCAGGTTTACAATAAGAGGAGACTGTAATGGACACTGTTCTAAGTCTTTGTTATGTACAATCTCATTCTGTCTCCCTGTCATCTGGAGACAGGAAGCACCAAGCTCTCTATGAAGACTGGAAATTGTATTTTACCCACTCCTGCCACCCATCTCCCAGTACATGTTTTTAAGGATATATCTTCTAAATAGAGAACTCACAAGCAGAGACTCTCTACTGAAACTAAGTGGGACAGAGTCAGTTCTTCAGGCCCTGGTGACAATTAGGCTAAATCTCATCTGTTGGAATGATAGTACAGAGCTGTTATCTTTCACAAATGTGGTCCAAAATCAGATACAAAAGTCTCTGCATTGATGTCCCCATGACTCTCTTCTTTAACCTCAAAATTTTAAGGCAGCATCCTTTTATTTATGATGAGTTTTATCAGGCCAAAAAGGAAAACAAGCAAAAGAATATACATATATGTGTATATGATATAGGTAAAATTTGCACATATTTTACACACACATTTATGCTCTTGGGGATGGGGGAAAGAAGGAGTGAACATCTAAAGAGTCATCACGTGGAATGGAAGCTTTGGCTTTAAGGCAAAGGTAGAAATAAAGGTCATCCATTGACAATGTGAAATACACAGAGTCAAAGGAAGACATCTAGCAAGGAAATGTACCGCCAGCAAAGCCGAGGGAGCACAGCTACTTACGTCTGCATTTAGTGCCCATGCGGTTTCCACTATAGCGTGTTCTAAAGCATGTTCCCTTGGCTGACAGGCACAGTGCATTGTTGAAAAACTATAGTGAAATTAAGTAGGTCAAAGGAAGAATGAGCAAAAAGTCAGGGAAACAAGGCTTTGGAAAAATTATCTTAAAACAACGAGATGCTGTCGTTGGGAAACGTCATTGGCTGTCCTTAGCAAAGCCAGAACTTGAACAATGGATTATTCTAAATCCTGAATCCAAGCCCCCATTTCTACCTACTTGGCACTATACTCATTCATGGCTAAATTAATAGCAGATCATTAGGAAATCTGCAAGAAAATGAGCAAAGTGCTTGACATGTGAGTAAGGGCTTGAGTTTAAATTCACAGAACCTACTTAAAGCTGGACATGGCAATTTGTGTCTGTGATCACCACACTTCTACTATGAGATGAGAAGCAGAAACAGGAGAATCCTAGTAGCTCACATGCTAGCTATCATGCTGTACATTTCAACAAACAACAGAAGACTTTGTCTCGGAGTTGTTGAAGACTGACACCCATAGTTGTCTTCCAACATCATATGCACACACTTGCCTTCACAGATATGAACATACACACATGCATACACACATGTCAGACACACAGAGGTTTTTTGTTTTTGGTATTTGTTTTGTTTTAAGAAAACAAACCATTGTCACAAATTTGGAACTCTGTCATCTGAGGATGTCATCTTCTCCCCATAGGCTCCCCACCCCACGGGGTTGGGGGGGCAGTAGATCCTCAGGATACTACCAGCTCTTCTAACTGTCTACCCACTAAGGATAGATTATAGACCCAATACATTTGTGGAGGCTTGCAGGAGCTGAGCAAATCCCATGAGTAATGCAGGGCCTCAAGAGCAGAGGATAAGAATGGAGGGCAGTGGGAAAGTATGTGTCCAGAAGGGAACAGCCAGCCACTACACAGCTCCAGGAACCAAGCAGAAATGTGGACTTAGTGCAGTCTGTCCATCCATCTTTACAGGATAATTGAAAACTCTGTTGTTTTACCTGAAACCCTTTAGTATTACATACTAAAACACATGCCAGTTTAACAGTTTCAAAACAATACAGGAGCCTCACTACACCAGTCCAAAAAACAAAACAAAACAAAAGAAAACAAAAAAACCAAAAACAAAATTAGCTAAATTTAAGTTGGTTCTGGGGAACTGATTTGGTGCCATGGAGTCATCTGATCTGGCCTCCTCACTTCCGGGTCTCACAACTCTTGAGGAACATTTGTGGTTTTTTGTTTTTTTTTTTTTCCTGAGTTTGTGTCTGTGATATTTGTTGTATTCGAAGTTGAAACTGGAAGTCAAACATGGTGGTACCCACCTAGAGATGTAAGACCCTCAGAATGAGGAGTCTTCCAGGTTCGGTCGATACCCCAAGAACTCAATGTCCAGTCCAGTTGCTGCAAAACACAAGAGGCTTTAATGAACGGGAAACATTTGCGCAAACTGGCTCCTCCAGCACGCAGGCTAGGGAGAAGCCCCCTCCCCCGGGCCCAGGTGTTTTTAAAGGCAAACCCACAAGCTTAGGGAGGGGGTAGGACCCTCTGTCCATTGAGTACGTGACTCTTGGAGGCCTGATGGTCTACTATTAGGGTCAGCAGACCTTAGGGCCTTAGGGTGTGCTAATTAATTTTGTCTGGGCATACCAGAGTTGCAGCTATCTCTTTGTTTCCTAAGGACCCTATTGACCCTATTCACCACCTGCTGACTCACAGGAATGGAGGGGCAGTGTGAATTCTTCTTATCTCAGGGCCTGGTGAGAGGAAGCTAGCAAATTCCAAGGAACAGATATTGGTTAGCTTTCCAGGTCAGACCATCCTTCATTTAACTTCACTTTTTGGTCTTTCAGAGACAGACCCATGAAGATCAAGAGTTTCTAGGCTATCTAGCAGGTTCAAGGCCAATCTGAAATACATGAGACCCTGTATCCAAAAAAGGAAGAAGTTGATACTGAAAGCGAAATAAGCAGTAATCAACTCATTATGTGTTCACATCAATAAACATTTATGGGCTGGAGAGATAGCTCAATGGCTAAAGAGCATAACAAGTACCATGCAAGTCTGAGGACCAGAGTTCGGATCCCCAGAATCAACATCAATTTCGAGGCGGCTATGGGGGGTTCCCATAGCAAACTGGCAAATGACACTAGCCGTATTTGGTTTGATTAAGAAGCTCTGCCTCAAAGAATAAGGCGG